GTGATAAAACATCACAGTAAAAGAGAGACCGGTGTCATGGTTCCTCCGACAGTACCGACACTCCGACACAATGACGTCTATAAATAGATGTCATTGCTCCGACAAGACATTTGAGACTTGATATTCGCGAATTGAAGAGCACGTTTTTATCACGCAGGCTACAATAAAATGTTTGGGTGTTTTTATTACGTATGAAGAAAAGAAACAATAAATAAATAAATCATTTTTCAACATTTATCGTATGTCTTATGACAGCAAATGTTTAGCTATCCCACTGTGGTGTGTTTCAAAAGTAAATTATTTTTATTTTTAATTTTACTTGTGAGTTGAGATTTTGTCGGTGACTGCATTTTTCGAATTTACTATTGGAATGTGGAATTCATATTTCCGCAGAATTGTATTTTAATAATATAAGTTTTATATATAAGTTTATTTATTTGACCATAAGGCAAGATGTTTGAACCAATCCAACTACCAACTACTACGACCAACAACTACCTAGTTTGTGATATCAGCAGCCGCTGGAAGCGAACGTTAACTTGTCATCTACCTACCTACCTTAGCGAATATCAAGTCTCAAATGTCTTGTCAGAGTGTCAGACTGTATCGGACTCTGTCAGAGGAACCACGACACCGCTTCGGTTTCCAGGTTATTTTGCCTCCTAAGGCCAAAGTACTATTGTGTATAGGCCTACATGGAATCTATACAAGTATTCTACTGTAATCACTCTGTCCGTTCTCATTTGGCTTGTGCTGATTTTACACATTTTACGGGCTACAACTCTTTACAAATTATGAGGATGGTCCCTATCGCTTTTCTTGATGATCGGATAATTTTTTGTCCGCCCGTCAATAAACACCGGCCATGATGCGATACAATGAAGTTTGCTTACAATTCTCTATAAACTAAATGAACCAAATGTGAATGGACAACAAACAATGATTTGTACTTGCAATCAAAGCTGCTGGTGAGCGCATGTCACTTGGCTTCGAAAAGGTATCTTTAATTGTCAAATTCGGCGAGAGGAATTGGCTTAATGTATTAACAGTCCTGGCATCTCCAACTCTCAAAAAATAATCTATTGATTTTTATAGGAACAATGTTAAAGAGGACAAATAATATAATAAATTTGAGAAGAAATGTAACTTGCAAAATGTAAATTTTGGAAACAACTGCTATATACGCCCCACAATTTCAATTCTCCATTGAAAGAAATTTTTTTTTTTGACTTTTTTCTCGAATAGTGACACTTGTACACCTTGATTTCAGCCCTTCAATTGTTTTATAATGAAAATATTTTGTTTTTGTACAAATTATTCATGTCTATTTGAACTATCGATAGTATGTCTCCAATAATCCGCCTTTATCATAGCTTATAGTCAAGGGAGTTTAACTTGAATGGACGAGATTAATTCCTAGGAAACCACCAATTGTAAATAAAATACAAAATACTTTCACCGTTAAAATTAATTTACCATGGATGTTTAATCTTCACTATGTCAAGCTATTTGGAGCTTCGTCTTAAACCTTGACTGCAATAACCACATTTCTTGTACCACGGAATTCAGCGATTTCATTAGATTGTACGCTACCGAATACAATCAATCATAGTCCTCGATAGACTGTAAACTTTATAGTTTATTCTGTACAGACTTTCTGTCGAGGACTCTGATTGGTATTTACAAACTTCCGTGATGCAAGAAATTGCAGTCAAGGTATAAGACGATGTTTGTAATATAAGGCGGATAAAGATAGGTTCTGAGAGGGGGTACCTAGAACAAATTGCAAGATTTTGCTTTTCACGCGGAATGGTTGCCATGGTAAAATTAGCTAAAATCCTATATGACCATTTATGGATTCATAATAAAGTCAGTATCTCCGAAATGACCTTAAGTTATCATTTAATAAAATGCAAAAATGGACACACGTTATTATGTGCTATAAGTTTTAATCGTCAACGCATAAAAATAGGTAAAACAATAATAGGTATGGTGAGAATATTAACTCACATTTATTAAGCTGGGGACCTGAAATAAGATAAAATAATAACTTGTCCAGAGGTTAGTTTGTTATAATATACTAATTGGCTTTAATTTTCACTGAACAAGGATGTCATATAAGTTTCGGTTGACTTTCCTTTTGGGGATTAGGATTATCAAAGGATGGAGTTCATGCATAAGCTAAAACATAGGCTTGCGGCAAGTCTCGCAAGCGAATACGCCCACCAGTAGCTTGATAAAGAGCTAAATGTGAACTGTAAAACAAACTCTATATCGTAGCCTGTAGGCTGAGCACGAGCCAAAAAAGTGAAAAAACACGATATTAGAGTTTTATGCGATATCTCTCAAGAAAATCATCGAATCCTCACCAAATTCAATAGTGCACATCTTCATAATGATATTGACACACATACAAAAGATCAAAAGAATCTATAGAGAATTGTAGTCTGTAGTGTGAGCATGAGGTAAATGTGAACGAACGGACGGACTGACAGGGGCAACCACAATATACGCCCGTACTAACGTGTGGGCGTATAAAAACCACCTGAACAAACGGTTCTTCGTCCTGAATGGGGATCAGTATAGCTGGCGTCGATTGGCTGATATTCGTTTCTCTGGGTAGGTTTGGTTATAGGTAGGTCGGTGATGTGGTGAGATAAACCTGCTGTTTGGTAGGTTGTCGGCAATTCGCAGGTGGTGGCAAATGGACAATAGCGTATAATGAAAATGTATAGAGATCATCACAGAATGAAATCGTATATGTTCGCGTAAAACTGTAGATCAGGGTATGCAAGAGAATCCACTTCGTTTGATTTGATTCTGGAAATGATACGATGTAGATGTAGCTTCGAAGGTGATTGTAACTCGAGGTGATGTTCAGGTAAAAAAACTGGATTAGACTGTGCTGAATACTCTTATGAAGGAGTTCCTTTGTATTTAGTACATGAAGTCGTTAATTTCTCCTTAACCTCAGTTTAACACATGGGAGTTAATGCAGTATTTCTCACCATACATATAAATTTGTTATGTATTATTATGCGTTGACGATTCATACTTATAGCACACATGTATGTGTGTCTGTTTTTGCATTTTATTAAATGATGATTCACAGACTGGTGAAGTTATGATTTTTGAATCCAGAGGGGTCGGTTTTCTAAGGAGGTCATATTCGTTTTAAGCTAATTTGGCGAGGTAACCATGGCAACCGATCCACCTATTTTTGTGTGTAGGTTCATATGACAGCGAGAATCAAAGTCTCGCAATTTGTCCTAGGTATAATGTTATTGTTATGTTACCTGCCTATAGCTTGACGTTGTGAATATGTTTAAGTAGAAAATTAATTTTCATGGCTGGCGCCAGTATGTAATCCTTCTCTTAACTCAATGACCTATTGTCTTGTCACTTTGAAGAATGAACTGAAGTCCCATGTGCTACTACAGTAAAAATACCAGTTGAAAATTTCGAAGGCTGGTGCCGCTAATATGATAAAATGTTACACATTGCAAACTGTGTGTCGTCCTCCACTAGCCCAACTTGGAGCAGAAAAAATGGGCGTCTACACAAGCTATTACGAACTTGGTTGTAATATACACACGAATATACACACATCGCATTCCGCGATATAAGAAAGATGGCGATTGCAGTCAAGTTATACGATGAAGTTCGCAAAAGCCATTACAAATGTGACTGCAATAGACACATATTCCTTGTATCGCGGATGATTGTAAATGCAGTGATTTGGTTTGGCTTGTACGTTAGAGAATACATCTAATCAGTCTTCGATAGAAAGTCCATAAGCCATATTGTTTACAGACTGTCTGTGGAATCCAATCAAATGGCTGCATTTCGCGATTCAAGAAAGGTTGACAATTCAAGCTTGATGATGAAGCTCGTAATAGCTTGACATGTTGAAGTTAAAATCATGGGTAATAATACGTATTTCATTTTTATTAAGAAAATGGCAAGTTAAAGCATACAAACAATTATTTTATTTGATCAATCTCACTAGTAGTATTATTGGTTCAATATAATTTCGTTTTTAAATTGCTTTCACTTACATAATTTAGAAACATTTAAATAAATTGACACATTTTCTACCAATGAATGCAAAGCTGTAAAGTTCATTTGTTTTATCGACCTTTTTACTGCAATGAATGATCAATCATTACACATGATTTGTTCACTAAAAGATCATCTCATCACAATTTCACACTGACTGAGGTTTTAATACTTCACTTATTAAATATAATTGGTTGTTTAACACTAATGAAATATTTAAATTGGAATTGAGTTCAGAATGTTTTTTTAATCAGGGATTGTTCTTATCGATTTAAGATACAGAAATAGAATTTTACAAGAATATTGAGTGGAGACAATTCCATCTGGAAACAGTTCAAGAGTGTGAGTTCTTTTGACAACTCTGTTACAATTTTGATTCTTTTTTATTATCACCCAAAGCGACTTATAACGCTTTGTTATCTAACTATTTTATGAATATGCTATATTTTGTTATGGAATGCTATGCATAACATCAATGTTTAAAAGTCAACATTTTTTACATTTTGTAACATCACGTCGATATAGATTTTCAATCCCTTCTCGGGGGCGAGATGTCTGAGATTACCCGAATATTTAACCTAGTTAGGAGATTCCCCCCCTCTTTGGCTCAAGCTCTGCTACTAACCCTGACTCCATGGATCAATTCCTCTTCACAATGTCAAGCTATTACAAACTTCGTATTGTTGTATCATGGAATGCATCGATTTGATAGTACGTAAGAGAATACAGCCAATAAAAGCCCTTTTTGTTGTGTATTCACAGACTTGCAGCATAATCTAATCAAATCGTTTCATTTACAATCTGCCATGATACAAGAAAGCAGACTATTTATAGGTAAAAGTGCGCAATTTGTAATAGCTTGGCGAGGAAGGGATCAATTATACATATGGATGTACAAATTGTAAAATGTTCAATGTAATAAATACAACAATGTGAAGAAATCAACCAAGTGTTTTACAAACTGGACGTATTGCTCCTGTATAATTTATATCTGAAATAAAAAATATAGTTTATAATCAAAATATAGGAGATTTAAAGTTGTAATTTGGTGAAAAGATTCTAATATCTATATAATTATAATTGATTAATTAATCTAGGTAATTATTAAAAAACCTTAAATATGTATGGTGCATATATACTCAATGTGGCAAAGATTAAAAATATAAATTTTGATCATCCTTAGACGTAGTTTTCTTTTATGAAAACAGAGACATCCCGATATACTGAAATAAAATTAGATCGATGTAAATGAATCTTCTGGGTGTTAAAAAGTTCAACACCTCTTCCACAACATAAACTAAAATAGATATTGGCAAAAACAAAAGTGATTTAGAGCAGTTATCTATTTAAAGGGACAGATGCGCCATTTTTGCCCAATTGTACCTTAGTCTCAGAAACGAGAATTTTCTAGCGAAGCCAATCAGTAATATTGTTCACAGCTCACCGTTGAAATTTGAGCCTTCAAATCCATGGATGTCCAGAATTATTCGTGTTTGAATGAATAACGACTTGTCAATTTAAGATACTGTGAGAAATATTGAGTACAATTCCTAGTTATGGAATTGGTTGGCTCTAATTTCGAAACAACCGGTATATAAATTCTCTTTAATTCAATCTTAAAATGAAGGTGAACTTATCAAGATGATAATTGTAAAGATATGAAATTAAAAAAAATATGACAAATAAAATGGGTTTTAAAATTGACCTCCTAAATTTGCACTTACATGTTCCAATCGAAGGGAGAGTTCTTTTATTTCCTAATTGACATATATTATTACAATCATCACAAACTGCCGAGGCAACCTGATCGTCATATGCATATTCTAAAGTGCCATATTCGAACGTATATGTCTGAAATAAAGAATCGATATTATATCAATATATTATCTTATATCAACCTTTGCCGATTTTCGTTAATTTCCGTGCGTTGAATATTAACTCGCTCATTAAAGGCTGACAGGTAAATTGGCAAGGGCACATAGCTCTGAAGATTTTGATTGTCTAAAATAGCGTAGTGATTAAAAAAATCAAATATATAACTCAATACTCAAATTATAATATTTTATGAATAATTATTGGTTGCTTTATTATAATATATGTAAAATAGAAATTATACAGTAACCATTAAATAAATATAGATTATTTCATTTTCAATATGACATCTCCGTTCAAAATACGAGGGTAACAGCAGCAGCATTCTATTCCTTAGTTGATACGAATGAAGTGACAGTATCTCAGAATTTTTTAGACTTAATGAATGAGATTTTAAGTTGTTGTTTTTGATTTAGCCATTATTCGAAAAAAAACCACTTTTATTGACTCATAATCAGGGTGCCATAGGGTACCATAGGGTGCCACTCCCCATCCATGGCAACTTGACCATTGGTTGAGTTGTTATAGATCAGTGATTCACAACCATTCTCAGCCCTCACACCCCTAGAGCAATTATTTAAACCCTCACAACCATGGAGTAATCATTTAAACCTTTCACACACCCAAAAAACAAAGGGCATTCAAAGCAATATATTTTTAATCATTCATTCACTATAATATTATTATAATAAGCACTCATATGATTATATATTGCAAAATCCCGACTCGCTGTGACAAAAGGGAACCTAAAGTCTGGATCCCAAAAGATATAATTCCTCTCCTACAACAGTTGGCTACACCCCCGACACCCCAGTCCCAATCCCTCATAGGATTGGGAATCGGAGTTCTAGAAAAACAAAGCAGCCTTCGCCATCCCTAGAAATATAACGACAAATTTCCTAGTTTGGTCTCTTACCTGCCTCATAAACTTCAATCCAGTTCCTCTTAAATCGATTTGGAACCTTCCTTTATCCCCGGGAATGTTACATAAGCTGGTACAATTTTTCCCCGCCTTTCCAGGATATGGACCATATAAAACTGGACATGTTCTTATGGCGTGGTCCCTGTTGTTTACATATTCCGCCTGAAATTTCAACAAAATTAATAGTATGAATTGTTATGTACAGAAAGGGTCATATTTGGGTTCTAACTATGGAATTTGATTCATTTCAATTGTGATATAATGCAGTTGATGAATATTTGATATCCGTTTTAAAAACTTAATCCAAAAGAGTTCTTTTGGAAACCAATAAATTAATATTTGAAACCAAGTTATAGGAACCAAATGTAGGTGACTGCGTCGAAAGAAAGTCGCGTTGTTTGGTCACAATAATGAAGTAACATTATTTCAGTCATGCCATTTCATTGCTTATGCTGCGGTAACACTGTTCCCGTCGGCAACGGCAGCCCCGTTTGCCCAAAACGCATTGCACCCGGTGTGATTTTGGCCATTTTTGCCTTTATATCCAACTTGGTAGGTAGCAAACCGTGTCAGATTGTAGTCAACGTACCGTAATGCTCCTGCCTGCAAAGCATCACACATCGGGGCGCATTGTAATTGTAACGTAACGAAACGGCTATTGTTCTTTCTACCCTGCCGTGAGAACCTGACACAACGGAACACAACGGAACACAACGATGAAAGTAACTTCGGATGCCGGTGTGATAGGACGAGAATACTGGCAGGTTGACATGTCTAATTTGGTTTGCGCATGCGTTGATTGGTGAGAGACGATGAAAAATTTCTACCGCTGGTTTCAGATGTCCAGTTTCATAGATATTTCATATTTTCTCAAAATATTTAGTTTAAATAATGAATAAAATAAAACGTTTCTCAATGTCAAACAACCCTTCAACACACGTACTCAGACAAAATAAGATGATCGCGTTTTCGAGACCTTGTTATACTTACCAACTTCAAGGTAATTAATTTTTTGTAAAACGTTTCTCATTGACGAAAAACTTTGATTGAGCGACCTTGAACTAGACCAAGGTTGTGACTCAATCTTACACAGAGATACTGGCGATCGAAAAGTGCCGATTAACTTTTCGCCTCCAAATAATAAAAAGTACGAACCAAAGTTTGCTCTTTTTTTTTGCTAAATAATACCAACAATATATAGGCATAGCTTTATGGAACAACAATCACTGGTTAAAGTTTTATGCAACGTTTCGACGTGTTTTCCCCGTCGTCCTCAGGCACATAATGAGAAGAAGTGATGGGCAAACTATATATACATTAATGCTTATTATTAAGAACACACAAGAGATAAATGGTTTATTGATACATTACATTAAATTTTAACAGGTACAATAAGAGGTACATAATTCTTAAAATAACATACAGGCTGATTAAGTAAAATAATTGAAGTAAAGTAAATGAATTAAAAAAGATTAATTGAAGATTAAATAAACTATTGCTGGTATTGGAGTCTTTTATTAATAGAAATTACATTGTTCATATAACTAACTATGCTTAAAGTTGGAAATTGTTCTTGAATATGAATAATTACAAGTTGATAAGTTTATCATATGCATGCGATAAACGAACACCTTCATCTCTGTTAAGGTCAGGCTGATATCTTCTGATGTGGATAGCTTCATGAAGTCTCCTGGTTTTATCTATGTGCTTATTGATTGTCAGTATGTTGGTGTTGTCAATTTGACTTTATGTCCTGTTTTCCTTCCCATAGCAAGATGTTCAGCCACAGCAGATGTTCCTTCATTGCCGGGCTTGTCTTGATGGTCTTTGAGTCGAACATCAAGGGGTCTCTTTGTTTCCCCTATATAAGAGCTTCCACAGGAGCACTCAACTTGGTAGACACATCCCTTAGGTTTTTGGTTGTTGGAGGGATTCAATTTACCACTGGTTCTGAGCAAATCTTTAAGCGTTGAGTTGCCAGAGAACACTGTTTCAATGCCAACTGACTTTTTCAGGATCTTCTTGATTTGGTATGCCTTTCCGATGAATGGGATAGCTAAGCGGGTTGATGGTCTGTTGGGATTAGGCTGTTGGTTGGTTGGTTTTGCAATTAATACGGATCGAAAAGCTTGATGTACAAAGGCTGGAGGGTAGTTGTTGTGCAAGCAGAATACTTTCTTGATGTGTTGTAATTCTTGTTGAAAGTATTCTGGGTCACAAATCCTTTTTGCTCTTCTGACCAGCGCTGTGATGGCTTCCCTTTTGACATGTTGAGGGGTGTTGGAATGGTAGTTCACATACTGATCTGTATGTGTAGGTTTCCTATACACGCATGTCTTAAACTGACCGCCTAACCGCTTAATTCTCACATCCAGAAAGGGTATAGAGTCATCTTCTTCTGCTTCCATGGTGAAATTGATCCTCTTATGCTGAGCATTAAGATGCTGAAGTAGAGCTGATGGGTCATCTTCAGCTCTAAGCATGACAAAGGTGTCACCAGCAGATTGGTGAGATCGGAGAGGTTTCCATGGTCTTTTCCTCAAAGGCTGTCATATAGATTTCAGTAATCAATGGTGACAAGGGGCTTCCCATAGGTAGACCGTGGATTTGTTCATAGATCTCATCTCCCCATGTGAAGTAGGTAGAGGACATACACATCTGAATGAGATCGACGATGCTGTCTGTAGTAAGTGTAGTATCTAGTGGGGTCTCTAATTTAGATATCTTATCTCTTATGATACTCAACACATCTTTACATGGGACATTGGTGAATAAGTCGACAACATCATATGAGTACATCTTCCCTGTGATCTGCAGTTCTTTCAATTTGGTGACAAATTCTTCTGAGTCTGTAATGAATGAGTTAGCTGTTTTCCCCAAAGGTGCCAAGATTCTGCTAAGATGTTGGGCGATGTTATAGAAGAATTTGATTTTTAGAATTTCTAAGAATACATTTTTGACATTAGTTTGCATGTAGGCCTATGTTCCCAAACTATTATATATATCATGGGCATGGATTAAGTTCTTGTCAAAGTTGTGAAAAACATATAATAAGCTTATATCAAGAACAGGCCCGTAGCAGACTTGATTGTAGGGAAGGCTACATATTCCTTCTTGGGCTTTGGGAAATGACGTTAAAGACTAATTAGTAATATATATGTATTAATTGTTTTATTGCAGTACAACCAATTACAAACCTTGTCTCTTTTTGTGTCAAATTTTAATGACTTGTTAAAGAGATATTAGCCCCGGCTGTTGGAATCTCATCTTCACGGTGTCAAGTTTGAAATTCTCTTGTGATGGTATACTATGTGGAATAGTTATAGGGAACTTAATTTCAACTGGTCCAGAATCACGACATTCACAAGACGCATTCCGATCTGCAGATGCACCATATTTTGGATTATCCTGGAGAATCACAAGACATACCATCTGAGCCTGAAATCTTCACAATGTTAAGCTATTACGAATTTTGTCTCATAATGTCAAGCTATTACGAGCTTCATCTTATAACTTGACTATATTGACTTGAACACCATTCTGGTTACAGGATTTGATCGGATTGTTAAACAGCTAATGAGAGCCCTTGACAGAAAGACTGTAAACAATATGTCTCATGGCTTACAGACTTCTATTGAGAGCTCCAAGTGACTATGTTCGTGTACAATCAATTAAAGTTGATGCAGTAACAAACTATCGTGATAAAATAATAGCGGCTATTGCAGTCAAGGTATCAGATACAGTTCGTATAGCTTGACATTGTGGGGATTATGTTTAACTAACATCAGTGTTGTGTAATATTTCTCTTTCCTCTTTTTCCATTTGCATTCGATACTTTAATGCTGGTATTTTCTTTAAGTTGATTGACTTCTATAGTCAAATTCTTAAGATAGCTAACATCACTAGATACACGATGATGTATTTCTAGATATTGGCCTTGGTGAACTGATTGTGAGGTTATATGGGCCTAATTTGGTTTTTAGCTTTGCAACCAGTAACTTTTTCTCTCAAATTAATTTCAACATTAGTAAACCCATTTGGAACACTACCAGCAGTCTGTTGATAAAATAGGTCTTCAAATGTCACATACATTAATACCTATACATAGTATAACTTTGTGTTTTTGTCTTTTTTCATATTTCGAACTTCATATCTTTCACTATTGTAGGTTTCACCCTGTCCGACTGGCAAAGTTCATACTCAATGGGAAATATTGCCTCCAATAGAATTCCAGAAGCACTTGCAATGACTACTAAATCAAACCCAATACTACCAACTTTGAATTTAGATATACACCAATACAAGAAGTTCATTTCACAAGAATTAAGTTCTAACATTTCAAAAAAATTGTCAGTGGAATGTCCAAATTAATACTATTAAAACTGGTAGGATGATAAATTGTCTCAGATCTTTAAAACACAGACTTAGCAGGAAATCTCTTCTTACAAAATACATTTCTTTAATTCCCCCACTCTTCGATTACTGTGACATAATTTGGGATGGGTGCACTGCCGAACTAACAAACAAATTTGAAAATCTACAATTTGACGCACTTCGCACAATCTGTGGGGCAGTGAGGGGTATTAGCCACCAACTACGAAGAAACAGGGTTTATATGACTGAAGAGAAAACGGTGGCATAAATTAGAATTGATTTATAAAATTTTGGACAACACGACTCCGCACTATCTATCCGGATCTCCTCGAATACCGACAGTCTTCATATAATCTGAGGAACCGACCTTTTCTTTATCCCCTCATCTACGTCTCTGTAACCTTTTGCCGGATCCTCAAAAATTTATTCCGTCCACATTCGCATTTAAATTCTCTCTTATATCTTATATCGAAAGATAAACAGCTCCAAATTGCTATTACATCGGCCCACGCAAAAAAAAAAAATATATTGCATAGCCGCCTTCGTCTCTCTTGATCAAAACGGCCATAAGTACCTCATATCTCCGACAATCCCGAATGCATTTGTGGTCATCACTACCTTCTAAAATGCCCCTTACATTTAGATGCACACGGCCGATCTACTCTTCAGCTTCAGCTACACTTTATTAACTTAAAATACTTACTATTTGGAACTGACAGCCAGGAGGAATCATTAGAAATACATTTGTATTTGACAAAGTGCAATCTTTTCTCACTCTCAAGCAGGCCTCACACTACACGATTTTCCCTACGATCGTGTACGTTACCGACATGCCAAGACATCGTAGAGCAAAGATTTTGAATCGTAACGCAGGTTATCGTGCTACCCACCCCCTCACACTACACGACCACTTAATCAATGTCGCAAGCCAATTTGCATCATTAACGTTGACAAAATTGAATTCCTCGGACGATGAATTTAGAATTTTTGCTTGTGGGGGGGGGGGGGGGGAAGGGGGCTGGGGGGGGGGGGGGGGGGAAAAA